TGTGAAGGTAATATGTCTACAGAAGCAATCCCAATATAGCTACCTTTTCCTATGTGGTATGGGATTGGGTACCTCTCATGGCTGCTGCATGCTTCCTGAAATGGACGATAAGATATGGAGCCAAGTCTGACACATCTGAGAGTTGAGTGCTCTTAGTGGGAATCCCATGGTAGCCACCTTCCTCCATGTGGTGTGGGAAGCATGCCTTGTTGGCAAATGGGGCCTGCCCCTCAAGAAGTATAACAATACCTAAGTAAAGTGATGCATGGCCTAGAGAATATATTGCAGTTTCTAAGAGTAAAATGTTTGGGCCATAAGCAGATAATGAAAGTCAATGATTGATCTTTCCTGTGAATAATAAGGCACGTAATGGAAGCAGAGATGTCTGCACAGGAAGAATCTGCCATGTCAAGAGGGAGATGCAACCGAAAAAGATGTGTAGATCCTGTGCTTTGACCTTTGATTTAACTGTGAAAGTATAAAGAGAGGACGAAATAGAGATGATGTTGGATTATCCTTTTAGTATAGTATTACCCCCCCCCGTGTGTGTATGTGTGTGTGTGTGTGTGTGTGTGTGAGAGAGAGAGAGAGAGAGAGAGAGAGAGAGAGAGAGAGAGAGAGAGAGATTCATGGAGACCAGAAAGAAGGCATCTGTGGTGCTTTGAAAGTAAACTGCCCCCATAGGAGTAGCACTATTAGGAGGTGGCCTTGTTGGAGGAAGTGTGTTGCTGTGGGGGTGGCCTTTGAGGTCTTCTGTGCTCAAGCTGCTTCCAGTGTCACAGTTGCTTCCTCTTGCCTTAGGATCAAGATAGAACTCACAACTCCTTCTCTAGCACCATGTCAGCCTGCACTGTCATGCTTCCCACCATGATGATAGTGAACTGAACCTCTGAATACACAAGCCAGCCCCAATTAGATGTTTTCCTTTATAAGAGTTGCAGTGATCATGGTGTCTCTTCACAGCAATAGAAATCCTAAGAGAGTGTCATATTTCATGGAGCTAGAAATATGGGCAATTTGTGTGATACCCTACATCTGTGCTGGGAACTGAACCCTTATTACGTGAATTCTGACCATCAAAGAATCAAGCAGGCAATTAAACAGGGAGGAGGGTGGGGCAGCGGTGGTGGCGAGGCAGGCATGGACCAAAGCTTATGCTTGTCCAGTAGCCCCTCATAATCTTTCCCACAGGTGTTGTAGGTTAGGTAACAGTGCTACCACCCCACTAGAGGATACTCTCTGAGTCCCCCATGAAGAGAATTTCCATCACAGTTAGACATGTTTACAGGAACAGACACTACAGGAAAAATTTTCTAGGTAGTAAAAAAAAAAACCATTCCTTTCTTAGCAAAAAGTATCTGTAGTGTGACCTTCAACCAGATGTGGTAATCATTTTTCAAGGAAGCTTCTTGCAAGTGCAAGATAAGAATCGGGGGCTTTCAACAAGCACTCAGCACACTAGAGTGAAATTTTAACAGTCTACTTTGTATTTAATCCTGCAGTTTCTAGGCAAGGATTGCTGTTAGGCTTTCACAATCAGAGAGTTAATTTGATTTTGTTAGGTACATCTGTACTGCGGTGTGTGTGTGTGTGTGTGTGTGTGTGTGTGTGTGTTCTTCATTGCGAAGCAAGGGAAAACACTACATGTTAGATTAAGGTGAGACCTTCTTGAGATCCAAAAGCTTCACCAAGGGAGGAATCAGACAGTGAAGAGGAAAAAAGTGAGACAAATGTGACTGAAGATAGCCTCAGATCTGACCTTTAATGTAGAGGACAGGAAAGTACATGACTCAACATGAAGACGGGAACCTTAATAGCTAGTGCTGGAAGCTACAATAAGCAGGAAGTACTGCTTGAACTGGGGGAAAGGTTTTTGATTTTTTGTTTATTAATAGTTATTATTACACCTATTTATTTCAGTGTGTGTAGCAGACATGAGGAGATCAGAGGACAACTTGTGAGAGTCAGCTCCTTCCCCTGTTTGGATCTTGGGGATGGAACTCAGGTCATCAGGCTTGGCCCTAATACCTTTACCCATTGAGTCATCTTGCTGGTCCTGGGGGTGTGTAACTTTGTAACAATAACTAAAAGAGTCTCCCAGGAGGCTGTGGGAGGTCAAATGTGTCAGTTTGAGTGCTGTAAAACAGAAACAAAGTTGTCCCCTTTGGAGACAAAGGCTCAGGTCAGAATTCCCATGATAAGGGTTTTATTGGGTATCTTCCTGTTGCACTCCTCTCTTCCCTCTCATACTTGTATAGCAGAAATCTCTAAAACGTAAGGAACCTATTAAACCTAGTATAATCTGAAGATCACCATATTTCTTTTCTCCCTAAAAGCCATTAGCTATTAATTTTTTGTTTGTTTTTTGGAGTCAGGGTTTCTCTGTGGCTTTGGAGGTTGTCCTGGAACTAGCTCTTGTAGACCAGGCTAGCCTCGAACTCACAGAGATCCGCCTGCCTCTGCCTCCCAAGTGCTGGGATCAAAGGTATGCGCCACCAATGCCCAGCTAGCCATTAATTTTTATATTCTTTTAATTTGAGAGCAAATCATGTTATTATAGCTGCTAATTTTCAAGTGTACAGATTTCTGCTTGCATATACTTCATCTGCAATTACTTTTAAGTTTATATTTAAATTTCAGACTGTATTGTAAAAGGTATTTAAAGTAGCATTTAAAAACTAAACCTTGAGGCATACCTCTGTGAGTTCAAGGCCAGCCTGGTCTACAGAGTAAGTTCCAGTACAACTAGGGCTAAACAGAGAAACCCTGTCTCAACAAAACAAAACAACAACAAAAACCAGGATCTATATTTTCCAATTTGGCCATAATCCACATTGGCCTCAAATTTATGGCCATATCAGTATATTCTTGATTTTGACTATGCATCTCATGTTACATACACACTATTTATGTAGTCAAAGAACCAAGCACATCTACCTGTCTGTCTGTCTATCTATGTATCTATCTATCTATCTATATCTGTGTACTTCTTTTCAGTTTTATTAAGGTAAACATGACAAAAAATTTTTTTCAGACAGGGTTTCTCTGTGTAGCCCTGGCTGTCTTAGAACTTGCTCTGTAGACCAGGATGTTCTGCAATTTACAGAGATCCTCCTTTCTCTGTCTCCTGAGTGCAGGTATTAAAGGCATGCAGCTCCACCCCGAGGCTGACAAAAACTTCTTTATCTAATACATACAACTTGATGGTCTTTAAAACATTTCTTTCTTTCTTTACTTGTTTATTTATTTTGTGTGTGTATGTATACTGAATATACAAAAGGAAAGAAAAGGAACCATAACTGCTCCTTGGTATGGTGAGGGTTATTGCAGATAAAAAGGAGAGCCAGTCAGGGACGGGGATATCTGGGAAATTCCAGAGTGGACTTGTCCAGACTGAGCTGGGTCACATGGGAACAGGGAGTAAGGAAGGGAGTGGGGAAGGAGGGGAACCAGATGCAGCAGACAAGAGGCACAGAGGTAGAAAGAGACAAAGAGAGCCAGTAACCAAAATGGTTGGATTATATAGGGAAGAGCAGCCCAGCTCCCTTGGCTGGAGAGTTCAGGGCTGGGGGTGGGGTGTGTATGCCAGCCAGGAGGGCCCTGTAAGAATTGTAGGGAGAACCTGGTAACCAGGTCTGTTTTGCTATGTTAATAGTCATCTCAGCCATTTGTTCCAGGATTGAAACCCAACCTATCCAGGTGTGCAGGTTAGAGTACATGTTGAAAGGGTTGATGGCTGAGCCTTCTCTCTGGTCCACAAATTGATGTTTTGTTTTGTTTTTTTGAGACAGGGTTTCTCTATGTAATCTTGACTGTCTTGGAACTCTCTCTGTATATCCAGCTAGCCTCCAACTCATAGAGATCTGACTGCCTCTGCCTCTAGAGTTCTGGGTTTAAAGGCGTGAGCCACCATGGCTTGATGTTTTAATGTATACAGTAACATAGCAACCAAGCTAATTAACATATCCATCATCCTCAAGAGCTATGTTTGTTTCTGTTGGTGAGAAAACTTGCGAGTGATATCTTTAGCAAATTTCAAGACTACACTACAGTATTGTTAACTATATTACAGTGCTGTATGTTAGATATCTAGAATTTATTTGTATTGTATAAGTAACATTCTACCTTTTCAGTAAAATCTCCATATTCCCCTTCCTCCAGCTGGTAGTAACTACCAATCTCTTTTCTGTCAAAATCCTCCTTCTCCTTTTCTGTTTGTTTTTTTGAGACAAGGTATCTCTCTGTAGCCCTGGTACACCCTCCGTAGACAGACTGACCTCAAACCCACCAGACATCTGCCTGTCTCCAAAGTGCCAGGATTGAAGGCATATGCCACTATTGCCTGGCTCCAACATCCTTCTTATGCTGCTGAAGTCAGCACTGTTGGTCCAAATTGACCAGCCAAAATGGCAGTGCTGGTGACAGGGTCCTAACAGAAGGACTCTGACCAGATCGGTAAGCAAAAGCCTGAATTCAGCTTTTGTTTACCAGAAAGCTTCTTTAATCTGCCTCCGAGGGTCAACTAACTTTAGGCAAGGTAATCTGGTTCCCTGTCAATCAGAACAGCCTGTGTCAGATCAAAGGCCCCCACCTGGCTGACTGCCATAAAATTTGCCTGCCTTAGCTGTCTGATTCCCTATAAACTTTTCTTTCTAGTTATGGAGTGGTTCAGTTGGTGGTCTCACTATGCCCATCCTTACAATCACAAGTGTGGACAAAAGTATCATTTTTATAGCTATTTCCTGAAACCCAAGAACTTGAAAAGTATCAGTCTAGCTCAACGTATTATGCTTAAATTGGGCATAATGCTGTTTATAACATGTAGTCTTCCTACCAGTCGCTTGGGTCCTGCTGCTGTCTCAGCCCCCAAATAATGCACGAGACACTATATTAATTATGAATTAATTATGGCTGTTTGCTTGGTTTCTTATCAGCTAGCTCTGACTTAAATATTAACCCACAAATGCTAATCTGAGTATATCCATGTGGTCTTCTCTTACCAGAGAAAGGGTCCAGACCTCTTACTCCTCTGATGGCGCCCGGACCTGGGACACAAATTTTCACTTAACAAAAGCTTTAAAAGGGGTTTTTAAAAACAGAAGAACAGAGAGAAGCATGGCTTCTTGGTAGCAGCATTTTTCTCTGGTGGGCTCTGTTTTTCTAGAGACAAGCAGAGATTTGCATGGCCAGCTCTGGTGGTAAACTTACATCCACCACCACCTTGGAAAGACAGCAGTTAAAACAGCTGCAGTTTTTAGCAGATAAAAGACACGTAACCAGAAAAACATAGACTTACAAGTAAAGTCACAATCAACTGAAGTAAAAATTCTAAAAGGTTTACAGTGTGTTTAAAAATACATGTAGGCTTGGGAGAGAAAAAAATAAACAAAATAAAGTGATTTAAAAAAACAGAGTGGCTAGGCAGTGGTGGAACACACGCCTTTAATCCCGGCTCTCCAGAGGCAGAGGCAGGAACATTTCCACAGAGAAACCCTGTCTCAGAGAAAAAAATAAATAAATAAAAGTAAAAGATATACAGTAATATAAGCCATGTAAAGATGGAAAATACACAGTCTGGCTACTGTATGCTAGTGTGTTGTCTTTGAATAGTTTGACTGCTAAGGAAATAGCAACAACTGCTAAAACAAATGCTACTAAATTAATCCAATTTATATATTTTGAAAATGATTTGACTTCTAAATTTAAATATTAGGGACAGGTTACTTGGGGAAAAAAGTTTTTGTTTGCGTTACCACAGAAAATGAAAGACTGTGGATTCCTTCCAGCCTTCTATGGTTTGATGAACCAAGACCCCCGGAAAAAGTGGCCCAGATGCACAGGTGATCCAACATCTAAAACAGCTGAGATGATGCAGCCTTATGGACTACAAAAAACAAGAACTTGGCTAGGTTTCTGTGTTTTGTCATGATCCCCATGGTACGGACAGCGCCCCTAACCAGCAGGAAGCAGTTTGGAATGAACAATACCCAAATTCCCAAATATTGTTCATGAATTTTTGTTTTCATTTAAATGGGGTTGGTTATAAATGGGTAATAATCACAACTAATCTCTTTTTAAAGGTAAAAGGGGATTATGGTATAAAAATAAATACTTTGTATTGGTATGCATTTTCATTTATTGATACAAATTTAAGGTCAATTTTGTGATATGCATATTTCTCCTTTTGTTTAAGTATTGTGTTTATACTGATCTTTTAAAATGTAATTCATAATTAAATACAGATTATAGATAGATACCTATATTAGCCAAAACTTATAGTTAGGTAAGTTAGGTTTTCTAGATATACAAGGATATATTTGAGATAGATAGTCTTCAAACCTTTCAAAGACCTTCAGAAACAATGAGAAATGTCTGCTCCTGGCACACCAATTAAGTCTGAGAGGAAGATGGGCATCGAAGAAACTTGCTATGGAGTTTGCTTTTGACATGGCAAAATTAGCCATTTGGGCAAGAAACTGCTCTTGCCTGGACTGTTTTACTGTTGCTGTATAATCTGGATATGCAGGACCCACAGGAAAGTGACTGCTGAACTTCAAAACAAGATAGACAGTCTTACAGGGTTCCTGTTTCATGGAAGAATCTGCTGGACTTTCTGCAGGATACAGAAAAATGACTGACAAACTGCCAGTGCAGATGACAGTTTAAGATTTCCTGATTTTCTGAGAACTCTGCCAGACACACTGTGGCTATGGGCTGAAGATGGATGTCCCAACGTTACAGAGAAACCTTTAGGTGGCTGTCCAGGTAGCAAGGTGTCTCTGTCAATTCTAGTGTTTATATATTATCCTTCTGTGGTCTTTGATGGAGTTGAAGACAGATAGTTATAGCTTTCCTTATTTATGATAAAAGATAAGTTACATATAAGACTTTATACTCACACAGGATAGATGATAAAATACTTTCTTTAAATCTTACTAAATGTTAATCTTATATTGTAACTATAGTTCTTACTTGATAATGTTCTGTTATATATAATTTGGCTATGATAAAGTTAAAACCTTTCTTTTTTAGATAGAAAAGAGGAGATGATGGGGGAAGTCCTTCTGTGTATAAGTTGATGATTAAAGCACTGTTGGCCAATAGGGAAGCAAGATAGGTGGGACTAGGAGTTTAGGAGGATTCTGGGAAATGTAGTGAAGAGAGTTATCGATGCTGTCCTCAGAAATATAAGTTCTTATAGAAATATATATTGGTAATTATGGGTTAATAATTAAGTCAGTGCTAGCCGATAAGAAACCATAGCAAATGGCCAACAGCTTCATAATTAATATAGTGTCTTGTGTATTATTTGAGGGCAAAAGTTTCAATGGGACCCAGGCAGCTGGCAGAAAGGCTACACGTTAAAACTGTTGGTACTCGAAATCTGAAATGTGGTTTTGGAGGTGGTTCTCTGTGAAGCCCTGTCTGTCCTGAAACACTGTAGACCAGGCTGCCTTGGCTCACAGAGATCTGCCTGCCTCTGCCTTCTGCGTGCTGGGATTAAAAGTGTGAGCCATCACCCTGGCTCATTGTGAGTTTTTTTTTTAAAGATCCCATCTACAGTATGTTAAACTGTGCAAGAGGCATGGTGGTGCATGTTATCCCAGAATTTTAGAGATGGAGACAGCAGGAGGATGACAAATTTGAGGGCAGCCTGGGGATAAACAGTGTATCTGTGGAGAGAAAGGGAGCAGGTAATATTGTAATACATTGTTTCGATTAACTGAGATAAGAGGTAAAATTGTACTTCAAAAGTTCTACTTTAAAACAAAAAAACACAGCAACTTTCCTAAGTAGCTATTTCTTGGTAAAATAAAAACTAAAATTATAGATAGCAAACTTTAATTTTAAAGGTAAATTTGGACTTAAGGAAAAAAAAACATGCTATGCCCTTGGGAGGTTTGTTTTTGCAACTAACTTTCATTCTTTTATGATTAATGAACTACAGACCAAGAGAAGTAAAAAAGGAATCAAACAGAAGTTCTGATTTTGTACCTTGGCAACATGAATCTTAACTTTGGGTTCAGCATGAAGGCTCAATAAACGCATGGAGAGTTTCAACAATTGTTACAATTTGAGACCTACCATTTGACCTTTGGCTTTAAGCGCTTCGGTGTCCTTAGTAAATAAACTAAAGGCTGACACCCCCTGAATTTGTGAAGAGACGCACAAAGGGCTATTATTACCATCACTGAGTGGCTTGGGCAGTTTTGACATCAGGAGCTGTGGTCATCAAGGCTGTCAAAGCCACGATGAAGCATCTCTGGGCTAGTCCGTTTCCTAATTTCAGTTTACCTTAAGGTCACCATTTTGTTTTCTTCGGAAAGAAAGTTCAGCATTGGCTTGCCTTTGACTTTTACTTTCCGAGTATAAAATCCCATCTCCCTATGGACTCCTTATCAACAACTTAATTTTAAGATGCCATTCCGGCCCTTCTTTCACATCACAAACCTGTCCGACAGGAGGCGGTGACCGAGCTACTACCCTCAGGTAAACACCGGGACGCCACCCAGCCCGGAGTAATTTTTCTTCTGGTTCTCCACGGAGCTTTACTTAACCCTGAATGCCTGAGTGCGGGGCTCGGGAGAACTCGGCAGAGATCGGAAGAACTCGGCGGGCAGGTGAGCGCCTTGCTCTTCGGCGGAGGATGTGAGCCCGCTGGCTCCGGGGGCGCGCGGGCTCGGGGGCGCGCGGGGAGCCGGGGAGCCGGGACGCACGGCGGCGGTGCCCTGGAGCCCGGCGTTGGCGCGGGCAGCCCGGCGGGGCGGGGCGAGGCCGGCGGAGGGGCGGGCTCTCGACATCGTGGTCGCGCTCGCCCGCTGCTCTCCCGCGGCTGCCGGGACGCTTGGCCATGTCCTGGCGCTGCGCGCTTTCGGCGGGGAGGCGGCTGGTGGCTTGCGGGAGCAGCGCTGCCTGGCGACGCAGCGCGGCTGGAGCTGCGGGCTCGGGGTACGCGGCGGGGGCGGGCCTGCGTGGCCTGTGGGACCCTGCGGTAGTGTTAGTGTGGACCTTTCCAGGGAGTCCTAGCCGGGTTTGGGGAACAGACATCAGTGGTTTGTAGCGCAGTGTAGACCTGGGTGACGCTGAAAACACGTATTCCCTGCTGTGGGAACTTATTTAGCCAGTCGCTCCTATATTAATGCTGAGCCTTGGCTGTCCTGTCGCAGGAAGTCAACAGGATTGTTGCTTCTAAATGGCCGTGGCTTTGCAGCTAGTAACTGGCATCCTGTAGATGTATGTGGTTTCTGACTTGATGGGCGTGTTGGGCGTTGACTTCCCCGCCTTGGCGTACCCTGGGGCTGACACACCAGCTGTGGCTGACCAGCTTTGGCCTAGGCGGCGGTCAGGACATCTACTAGTGCATCTATTCCTCCACTGTCTTCCAGAGACTTCCCTTCGGAAAGCGCCAATCACGTGACGTTAACTCGTTGACGGGTCCTTAGAACTGTTTCCCATTGGATATGGCGGGGTATTTCCTGCTTTGCCTATTTACTGCCTCTTAGCAGGTGATCCATAAATGGTGTTTGAGTTGTTAGTGGCACTTTACCAATGTTGATGTTCATTTACTCCATGCCTGCCTCTACTAGAAAAGCTCTCGGGGAAGAGCCTAGGCACTGGCCCAAATGAAAGACAGACTTTGAAGATCCCCCATGAAAGGCCTCACCCTCTCTGGGGAGCAGAAGGGACATGGGATAGGAGGTTGGTGAGGGGCATGGGAGAATGGGAAGGAAAGGGAGCTGGGATTGATATGTAAAATAAGATTGTTTCTAATTTAAATTAAAAAAAGAAAAAAACAGAAAAAAATAGGAAAGCTCCACTAGAAATTGGTGGGGCTGCCTCAAGAAAGATAGGGGTGTCTTTTTTGGAACTTTTTCTTTGGTGTGGAAAGAGAGTCATTGTTTCAGAATGTGCCTTCTTGGCCCTCTCATTTTCTTAGAAAAGTTCATCCGCTGTAAATGCTGCATAGGTTTGAGGAGGAGGTAAATGCCAGATTAGAAAGGAACACAACAAAACAAAACTTGTTTTCAGAGTTGAAAGCCCGCTGGGCGGTGGTGGCACACGCCTTTAATCCCTGCACTCGGGAGGCAGAGGCAGGCGGATCTCTGTGAGTTCGAGGCCAGGCTGGACCGACAGCCTCCAAAAGAATACAGAGAAACCCTGTCTCGTAAAACCAAAAAAAAAAAAAAAAAAAAAAAAACCAAAAAAAAAAAAAACCCAAAAAACAGAGTTGAAAGCCCTTATAGACTGGATTGATGCCATCCAGCGCCCCTCCAGGCCAAGGTCATCTATTTTCCCTACAACTTTGGACTTCACAAACTCAGCCAGCTTGTTTTGTTCTGTGTTGTTTCTCAAAGCTGCCTCCTCCGAAGTAGGGCACAGTCTACCCAGCCTCCCCCTTGCTCCTACCTTCTCTCTGTCTGATACATGCACACAAGTGCCTTTGTTTCCGTGGTTTCCTTGTTAATCTGTTGGGGGACACTTAGTTGCAGTGATTCCTGTCAGTAAGTCATCTTTGTTGCAATGGGACTTGATGCTTGTTGCAGCTTATCTGAAGTTTTCCAGAATGACCATGAAGAGCAGAAATTCATCGGGGCAATACACACTGGAAATAGCCATTTAACAGGAATTCACTCAAAAACAGGACTGGAACTTCATATTATGATTTAAGACATGCTTTGACTGTGGCCTTCAAATTTTAAACTTAAAATAGTTTCCTTTTATTCTTAAACACAATTAAAGTTTCTATAAATATACCCATAAGGAATGAATTACTTTTGTGGAAGGAGATTTTTTCTTTAATCATAAGTATATTTTTAAACTGGGCATGGTGGCAGAGACAGGCGAATGTCTGAGTTCCAAGTCAGCCTGGTCTATATAGAGACACCCTATCTCAAAAAAAAAACCAAACAAAAATCCCACAAAAAAATAGATTTTTAAAAATATTCATAGCCATTGTGGTGGCACACACCTTTAATCACAGCACTTGGGAGGCAGAGGTTGGTGGATCTTTGGGTTCAAGGCCAGCCTGGTCTACAGAGCAAGTTCCAAGACAGCCAGGGCTACACAGAGAAACCCTACCTTAAAAACAAACAAAAATGATATTAAAAAATCATTTGAACTTTAAATTCTTCACCCTAACCTTAATCTTTACATATTTGAGCAGTTCTCCTTTGTAGCACCTGCCTTCCTAATATTTTTGAGATATTAGTAGTTCACATCATGTCTAATTTGCTTCAACAATCTTGTCAGGCCTTGCTAGCTGACCAAGAAAAATGAGTGAAATGAAGGAAAAAGATTCTAGAATGAATGGAAAGACTTGATGATGATTACCTACCTACATTCTCTCTCTCTCTCTCTCTCTCTCTCTCTCTCTCTCTCTCTCTCTCTCTCTCTCTCTCATCTATCTATCTATCTATCTATCTATCTATCTATCTATCTATCTATCTATCTATTTGAGACAGGGTCTCATTCATAGTCCTGGCTGTTCTGGAACTTACTGTGTAAGCCAAGCAGGCCTCAACTCAGAGCTCCAGCAAGTGCTGGAATCAAAGGTGTACACCACCACATCTCACTCAAACACTTCTTTTTCTAAGCTCTAGGTTGTGGATAACAAATGCTGAGGGTCCCCATAATCAGTTAATAATCATATCAAGTATTGACATTTACTGTGTGTAAGATACAGTCTTGCTTTCTGTATGCCAGCTCATTTAATCTTCACAATTCCCTTTAAGTGGGTGTGTTTTTATCCTACTTGGTGAATTGAGAAATTGGAAACTATAGGATTAATGTGGTTGAAAACCTTTATTCCCCAAGTCTTTGTAGGTTCTTTGCTTCACAGTGTCCATGAAGTTTCTGTATATTTAAAAAAAGTTATTACTTAGCCGGGTGGTGGTGGCACACGCCTTTAATCCCTGCACTCGGGAGGCAGAGGCAGGCGGATCTCTGTGAGTTCGAGGCTGGGCTGGACCGATAGCCTCCAAAACAATACAGAGAAACCCTGTCTCGAAAAACAAACAAACAAAAAAGTTATTACTTTATATGTATGTGTGTTTGTGTGAGAATATGCCACATGTGTGCATGCATTAAGAAACCAGAAGAGGGCATTCGATCTAAAGCTAGATTTACAGGTAGTTAGTTATGAGCTGGGTTCATGTGGGTTCTGGGAAAGGAACCTGGGTCTTCTGCAAGAGCAAGTGCTCTTAACTGCTGACTCGTCTCTCCAGGTCTTTGCATACCCCTCCATATTGTATGCTTTCAGAAGAAATACAAAATGCATTTTATTTATTGCCAGTGGTCAGGCCTTCATTAGGGCAGAGTATCTGGTGTTTGGTGATTATGAGTTTACTTATAGTTGAGATTGTAAGGAACTTTAGACATTGGCTAAAATTTATTGAAAGTCTCCTTAGATAAGCACATGGGTCCTGTTGGAGTTAGCAGAAAAGCACTTTATGTCCTGACAAAGCTTTTTGTATTTGGACATATTTGTTTTTAAGGTTGTCTTCCATGGGGAACCCATGTGATACAGGGTTACCTCATTAACTCTTTTCCTCTGTTTTAGGATGGGAAACAGCACATCCTCATCTGTGGGGAAGTCAACAGCTACTGCTGTGAACCAGATCCAAGTGAGTGATGGAGGCCGATGGGGTGATGGAGGAGGAACTGTCTTACACATTTAATGTGTTTGCTCTAGTCCAGAGTTGACATAGTTTGGAAAATAAATTACTAAGTTAATATTTATTTTAAAATTGCTATCAAAATTACCCTTGAGACAAGTCCTATGTCATTTTTGTTGTTGTTAAAATTTCTGGTTTATTATTTATTATTTCTTTTTTGTGTGAGAACGTGGTTTATGTGTGTGTGCTAACACATGCCTGTATACATGTGGAGGCCAGAGGAATGATGTCTCATGTCCTGTCCTGTTGTTACTTACCTTGTCCCTTTGAGACAGTCTCTCTCACTGAACTACGAGTCAGGCTGGTGACCACTGAGCCCCAGGACTTCTGTCTCTGCCTCTCCCCCCTACCTCAGCCTCACCTCCCGGGGCTGGGGTTACAGGTGTGTGTGTGGCCACAGATGGCTTTTTTTTTTTTTTTTTTTTGGGACAGGGTTTCTCTGTAGCTTTGGAGGCTGTCCTGGAACTCACTTTGTAGACCAGGCTGGCCTCAAACTCACAGAGATCCGCCTGCCTCTGCCTCCCGAGTGCTGGGATTCACAGATGGCTTTTTACCTGGGATCTGAGCTCAGGTCCTCATGATTGTGCAGGAAGCACTGTTGCTTACAGAGCCATCTCTCTAGACCTTTCCCCTGACTTTATTTTAACAGTTCTGGAGATTGTATCTAGGTTGTCCTGAATGGCTAGACAAATGTCTACCACCCACGCTGCCTCTCTGCTAATCTTTTCACTTTTTCTTTGGAGGGAGGGTCTTCCTGAGTTGCCTAGGTCAACTGTAAACTGCTCCAACTCAGGCTACTCTTGAACTTGCAGGGTTACCTCAATGTCTGTATAGCTAGCTGGGGTGACAGGTCTGTTCTATCAGGCCTCAAAGCTTACTCTTTTTTTTTTAAGTTTTTATTTTATTTTACACAAAATATATTTAACAACTTTCTACATAAAACCAAACATGAACTTTTATCAATGAATCGAACTCATTTCTAACAGGGCATGCTTGTATTTAGGAAAACTAAGCTAAAAATCTCTACATATTCACAACCCATAGAAGCACAGCTGAAGAGCTATGAAACTCACAGAATTCTAGATTCACAGCTGGAAGTTCCATCAATGTATCCTAATCAAGCATTCAGAGCTAATGATGAACAACTTTTAAGCAGAAAGAAAAAAATGTTTCAAAACCTTTATGACAAATACTTCAGGCAATATAAAATTTACTTAAGTGACTAAGATTTCTCACTGGACCCCCGATGGTCATTTTTGGCAACTTAGCCCAGCCTGGTGGAAGGCTGTGCCTGTGGTCAGGAAGCCTGTGTTGTGTCTCATCAGAGCCTTGCTAACTGGAACTGCTACTGCCTCAAAGTAAGGAAACAGTAGCAGCAACAGTTGCACACGCCTGCCCCACACAGGCCCAGCAAGGCCTTCTGTTTAAATGCACTCCTGAAAGGCGCTGTCATCCTGCTTCAAAGGTGTTCCTTACGTTAGGGAGGAGGGGGAGTAGATGACGACATACACCATATTCAAGTTCATCACAGTAAAGTTTCCAAGTCCTATTTTGTGCTCTGAACTACACCCATCCCATGGTAAGGGTCAAACCATCTTATTCCAGAAGAGACTTCATACCACAGTAAGCAGCTTTTCAAAACTGTGTTCCTGCCTTCTTCCGTTTTCTGAAACTGATTTATTTATTCTTTATTCTTTGAGGTCGGTTTTTATTTTTAAAATTTTCATTATGCCTACTCTAATTCTACTTTTGATATCTAGGAGTCAGTGGTTCACAGCCAGGGTTTATTACGTGGATGTGGCATGGGCAGCTGTTTAACAGCTTTCTACCCTAACACAGAACCTACTGTGTAATAATTACTCCATCAATTATTCTCTTAGGGACACTAAACATGGTTGTATTCTCTTGTTCCCTTCTTTCTTTCACTGCCGATCTTAATTAATTCTGCCTCAGAAAATTTGTGTTAAGCTAGCTGTGGCGTCATTTGCCTGCTATCCTAGCACTTGGGAGAGAAAATTCAAGGCTTCTTTAGACAATATATCTGAGATCCCTCTTTCTAAACAAAAATGAAAACAAAAACAACCCCCCCATATTTCCCTTATATACATTTTTTTTCTCTTCCAGCCCATGAGGCATATCTTTGTCCTCCTATCTTCTGTATATATTTTGTTACTGCTTTGGATTGAGGGTGTAGCTCAGTGGTAGAGCATGAGCCTAGCATATGTGATGTCCTGGGCATTGCTTCCTAACAACACATAGGGAATCTGAGTTTGTTTCAGCTAACCTCACTATCTTTTGAATATAGAAGCAATGTGAGAAACTTCTTGTGGGACTTTCTCTATTTTAAAACACAAAGACAGCACCATGGAACATTTGGTAAGGATGCGCTTGAGAGAAAGTGAAGAGTGTTTGCGAACCCCCTGGCACTATTGTCTTGAAGTTCAGTCACTATGGAATCTCTTCATTAGTGCTTTGGTGCCATAGGAGAACTCACTGTGCTCACCCCTTAAACTAAACAAGACGCTCAGCACGCCTCTAACCTAAATAGCATGGTGGAAGATTACTAGCTTTGGGCGTGATGTGGAATTTGAGGAAAGTATGATGAAACTCTTCAGCCTTAATTTTGTTATCTGTAAAACTGATTCACTAATGTAGCATATTATCTTGTATGGTTGGTCTCCCTGTGACAGAATTTTAAATATTTAGTAAGCAGGAGAAAGGACATAAAATAGATCAGTGTGCCCACATCCAGGGCGACTCAGGACCCTTTGACCCTTTAGGGTGAGTATAGGTTCTGAAGCACTTTTTCTGGGTGTTGCCCTTTGTGTCTGTCTTCATTTTGAAGTCATTGATTATGCTGTGCCTTGGAAGAACCACCCATGCATCTGATCAGGTGCCAGACTTGTCCACTGAAAACCTTTGTGCATGCCAGTGTTGTCTGCTCAACTCATTTAAAGGACTTGGACATCTAAGTATTTAGAAACAGAGAACATAAGAAAACTTCCCAGGCTGTGCAGACATATACCAAGGCCCGGGCATTGTGGTAAAGGCCTAGGGAACACTGCAAGCCAGACTGCTATCACTGAGTCATTTCAAACTTGCTTATGACTTCAGCTTCAAATCACTGAACAAGCTTTTTTGGAAGTAGCTTTTTCAGGATCAGCTGGAAAGTATAGTTTACCTTGATAACTCTTACTGTATGGAAACTGGGGAGTTAGCTATTGTCCATACCCCATGAAAGCTGTGCATTTTAAGGAGAAATGACACATTATTTCCTTGCAACTCAAGGTCATTAGAATTATGGAGTAAATGCCTTCTGAATACCTCTTAAAACATTTGAGAGGTACAATAGAGATAAACTACCTGGACTATAGGGCTGGATTTACCTGGCCTCATATCTACTTGTTAGTCACTGACAGCAGGTAAGTTACTTATCTTCCCTGTGCCTCAGTTTCATCTGTGCAGTTTAAATAATATTGGGTGGACCTATGTTAAGATTACAGTGAAGGCCGGGCGTTGGTGGCGCACGCATTTAATCCCAGCACTTGGGAAGCAGAGGCAGGTGGATCTCTGTGAGTTCGAGGCCAGCCTGGTCTACAAAGTGAGTTCCAGGACAGCCTCCAAAGCCACAGAGAAACCCTGTCTCAAAAAACCAAAAAAAAAAAAGATTACGGTGAAGTTGAAATGACTTCATGATGTCAAGAATATACAGGAGTGTTTGCAGTATAAGAGTTGGCTGTCACAAGTGTTATTTGTTCTTGATACTGTTCTCAGGCATTGCTTTGATACATCTTTGTTTCCAATGGCCAGCTTTTGAAATGAACAATAGATAGAAGGTAGGAACTTGGAGAGAACAGTTGTAGTTGTGCTCTACACTCCAAAATCACAGTCCTTCCCCTAATTTGGATTTCATTCCAAAAGGTGATACTAAGATGGGAATGTTTTATTTATTTTTAATTTCAGGAAACAATTTCTAACAATTGTGTGGTGATTTTCTCAAAAACATCCTGTTCTTACTGTTCAATGGCCAAAAAGATCTTCCGTGACATGAATGTCAACTATAAAGTTGTGGAATTGGATATGCTGGAATATGGTAGCCAGTTTCAAGATGCTCTTCACAAGATGACTGGAGAAAGAACTGTGAGTGTACCTTTAGCCCTGATGCCCCTGGCGATGAGCTGGTGACATGCCAGGCCCTGGATACTAGCTTTTCCTGGTAGAAAAAGGAAACCTGACATTGACAGAGAAATGGTAGATCTAGGGCTGGAGAGATGGCTCAGAGGTTAAAAACACTAACTGGTCTTCCAGAGGTCCTGAGTTCAATTCCCAGCAACCACACGGTGGCTCACAACCATTTGTAATGAGATCTGGTGCCCCCTTCTGGCCTGCAGGGACACATGCAGACAGAACACTGTATACATAATAAATAAATAAATCTTAAGAAAAAAAGAAATGGTAGATCTATAAAGAAACCAGCTCATAGAATAGGGAAACGGCATAGTTCATTTTACTTTTTATGTTTACTTTGTGTGAGTGTGTGTGTGTGACAGAGAGAGAGAAAGAGAGAGAGAGAAAGAGAGAGAGGAGAGGAGAGGAGAGGAGAAAGAGAGGGATGAAATAGCTAATGGTGTCATGAGTGCTTGTCTGTGGAATTTTAAGGTCCTTTCGGAGGTCTTTGCAAGGTAAACTTACCCTTCCCCTCCTGGACAGTACAGACCAGGATCAGTTCGCAGGCCCCTGTGTTATCTGAGTTTAGTGCTCATTGTTCTAGCCTCTGGAAGTTTGTGTGTTTTTTCATGATATGAATCCTCAGAAAAATATTCATTGTTGTCACTTTCCTTCTTGTTTAAAGGTTTGTAGAAGACACTGGTAAACAAGTAGAAACTACATAAACATTAGTAATACCTAGCTTTGTTTCTCCCTCCTTCCCTCCCTCCCTCTCTCCCTTCCCTTCCTCCCTCCCTCTCCCCTTCAGTTCTAGGACAGTTTTATTAGAGTTTAAAAGAAGAACTCCTGGATCAGGCATGCTGCACACCTTAGTAGTTGCCTGAAGGCGAATGCAGGAGGAAAAGACACAAAGCCATGCTGTTTACCTCAGCTCAGAGGTTAGACACTTGAGACAAGCAGCCCCAAGGTGGGGAAAGGAGGCTGGAGAGAGAGTAGGGAAGCCCAAGGTATCAGAGAAACGTGTGCTTACGATCTGGCCTAAGGAGAGATGCAGATAAAGGGAAAGATTAAGCCTTTCTGACGCCAGCCTCTGCAGGGCAGGCAGACCCTGCTGAACCTCATAGGCCTTGTTTTGTCTTCTAAGATGAGTGCAGTATGTAGGACGAAGGGTTTTAGAATCAGATTGTCCTGGATTTGAACTCTACCTCTTTTACCATTGCAATGTTGGCCACGTTACTCTTCCACATTTCTCTTCAAAGCTGGACTAGTTCTGACCCTTTCGATTAGGCCTCATTTAACTTTTGCTCATTCAACAGGTTCCAAGAATATTTGTCAATGGAGCGTTCATCGGAGGTGCAACTGACACTCACAGGCTTCACAAAGAAGGGAAATTGCTGCCACTGGTTCATCAGTGTAATTTAAACAAAAGCAGGAGGAAAGAAGTTGAATGATGTGGATAGACACTGTGACTAGTCAAATGTTAGCTAACGCAACCCCACGTTTAAGTCGTTTGAGGATGTTTCATGCATGTGTATTGCCTTCATAAAGACGACTCAATGAACAATAAATTGTTGTGGGTCCATCTTCCTCCTTGCCACTTTCTGAGCGTGAGATGGTCTGTGAAACTGAAGGGGTGGAGTTACATCAAAAATAAAGAATGTTTATCAGGGATTTATTCATGGGTTTTACAGTAAAGAGGAAGCAAGCACTTGAAATTCGTACTTTGGTATTGGGGAATTAACTTACACTCACTAGCTTTCTGGACTGAGGACTAATGGTGATTTCTCTGAGGTTTAATATGTTGTAAATATGCAGTAGGTTGGGATATCATGTCATGATCACCCTTCTATGTTATGTTCTAGATCATCAGAGACATATTAAATATGTAGGATGGAATAAAGTTTATAGTTGGGAAACCAAACTGCTAATGACTTCCTAATTACAGGGATAAGAAAACAGGTTTATCAGCAGAAGGCAAAAGGTTTCAATATCGTGAGGATGAACTTCTCAAGCAGTTAAAAAATGTATTCAGTCATGCTGTCAGCTGGAATGCTCCTCCTTTCAGAATGTGCAACAGCTAGTAGAACTTTAAAAAAAAATTGGAGACAGGGTTGGTCTGTAGCCCAGGCTGGCCTTGAACTCATATCAAGTCTCCTCCCTGTTTCCCAAGCTTGGATTAAATGCTGAGCCACCATGCTCAGCCTAAAATGTTTAAGGGAACCAGGTGTTCTAATGATTGCGTTTAGACTTACAGGGCTGTGCTATGGGTGGAATGTCCCTCATCACAGACTTCATGTGTTGGAGAGACAAGCTATGGCATGCTATGGTAAGAGGAGGCCTTTAGAAAGTGGTTAATCATGAGGGTGGATGCATTAGTGCTACATTGAAGATCTAGGCAGCTGTCATAGAAGGTTCTTAGTAAGTTTGGCCCCTTCCCTCTCACGTGTCTGTGCTTTTGAGCTTCCTCCCTCTGCAGTGTAGGATGTAGCAAGAAGCTCCTCACTAGATGCTGGTGCCTTAGCCTCAAGCTTCCCAGCCTATGAACTGTAACTAGTACATTTCTTCTTCATAGATTACTTAGTCTCTGGTATTCTGTTTCAGCAGTGCAGATGTAGGAAAGAGCCCCTAAAATCACTTTGTTGTTATCTTAACTATTTTCTGATGAGGAATATGCTGTTCAAACTGAATTCATGTAAGAGAAACTTAGCAAACAAGAATTACCTTTTAAGAAGTATTATTTTAAGAGTTGAAGATATTTTCAGTACTTTACTAACCTGGTCATATTTCCAGCCTTTGTTAAAGAATATTTTTTAAAGATTTATTTATTTATTATTGAAAGACCCCCCACTGGGAATCTTCCTGGCAGGAGACCCTCGCCCAAAAATCGAGACAGAGCCACTGGATGCAACAGCAAGAGGGTTCTTTATTGCTCACACAGGCGCCTGCGGATGCTGCAGCACTTCAGGAGGCTAAGCATACCAGGCTGGATTTAGTACAGCTTATATAGAAGCGGGCTTTATTTGCATATGAAGTCCTGTGGACCTTGCAAGAGCAGCTCTCAATCAGGTCCGGCAGGCTTGATATGCAAAATGAGGTAGAAGATGAGAGCACCGCTGATAGGGTACTCATCTCGGTGATGTCACAGCTTTCGAATTTCGCGTTAGAAAGGGCACGGTTTACATTCAAATTTCGCGCTCTTAGAAAGGGCTCGGTTTACATGAGTGTGGCGGGGGTCTTTCATTCCCCCATTTCTTTTTATCCTTAAGTAAAATCCTTTACTTAACTGTTGTGAGGGTTCTCTGTCTCCTGTTGCTTTAGAACCTGATATTGATGAGTTAGGACTAAGGTCTGGATGACTGACAGCCTTTTCTTGATAAACTGAACCAGCCGGTTAAGGATACAGGGGCCAAATGTCAGAATAATCACCAGTATAACTAAAGGTCCCATAAGAGTTGAAAGTAAGGTAACATACCAGGGTGATCTGTTATACCATCCTTCAAATCAGCCTTGTTGTGAACTAAATTTTCTTTCTCACAGGGCCAGCCTCTCTCTTAGCTTAGCCATTGTCTCTCTCACTATCCCTGTCTGGTCTGCATAAAAGCAACATTCTTCTTTAGGGGCCGCACATAATCCACCCTCCTTTAAAAAGAGTAAGTCTAATCCCGTCTATTTTGTAAAATAACTTCAGATAAAGAGGTCAGGGATTTTTTGAGGGCAGTGATTGACTTTTCAACCGCTTTTAGGTCTGAATGCATGGCGTCATGCAAGGCTTGGAATCTCCCTGTCTGTATCATGGCATGAGTTCCAGTGCCTAACCCTGCCGCAATCCCCCGGACTCCCAGAAGGATCTCGAGGGTCATAGTTACTGGCTCCCTCCTCTGCCTTCTAGGGGTGTCTTCGAAGAACTCATGAACAGTCTCTGAACTATGATAGGTGATCCTGGGCCGCAGCTGGATCAACACACAGAACTCTGAGGTTTGGCTCCACACTTGGGCCGATATACAGGGGGTGAGACCTGTGTTACAGGCCCAGTACGTACCATTTGGGGCGGCCAAATAATAGTTCCCTGCTGACAGAGTTTGGACAGTCCGATTGCAGAGTGGCTGGTGCAACCTAGGAACCTGACCCAAACATGTCCCTTGCCCAGAAACGTCGGGTAAAGTTAGCTTGTGGTGAGGCAGTACCAAACACGATTCCGGGGCTCTGGTATAATTAGAGAAATTTCCTGAAACAGCAATTCCCTCATAGTAGGGGGGGCCTACGCTGAGGCATAGCCAACAGTCTCTAGCTCGATCGGGGTCTGAGGAGTTAAGGGCCTGGTGGGTTCCTTTTACTAAGTTAATAAGTCTATTCCCTGTTCCCAGGAAGTCTTCCTGGGACTGGGCATCCTGGGACTGGTTAGGGGGCGAGGTTGGTGTGGTTATTTCAATTCTAACTGAGTTACCCACTGCAGGGGGGTTGGTATGAAACCGGAGGAGGATGCCGGCCTCTGCTCCGCCAGGACTTGGTTGGGACCGATTGGTTGGGAGGCCTGTTGTACTCTAAGTTGTATTTTAAAGTTAACCCCCGATCTTCTCCTATGTACCAGCGGAGCCCCCAAGTATATCCCCTGATCCATTCTGGAGCCTTTTTACCACTCGGTGTAAAGGTGATGTTAAGGGGAAGGCAGAGTCCTCCAGAACAGCTGGAACAATGTCCCTTTCCCCAGCCCTTTAATATGGTGACCTTGTCCCAGGAAGATGAGGGGTTCCAGTATGCACCGCCGGTGGTCTCACAGCCCAGGCGGCGCAAAAGTAAGAGTCATAGCTTCCACATTTATGAGACGTGTGGAAGTCCCTCCCATCTTTTGGGCACACATAAAAGTCTTGGTGACCCAGTTTACACCGTTTCTCGATGGTGGCACACCCTATTGGGGTCCGGACTCCCCGGACACCATAGCCATGCACGCTTCTATTGCCAGGGTTTGATCTTAGTTTTTCTGGCAATGTGTCTGCCTCATAGTCGGGTATATCCCAATAGTCTGACCCTGCCACCAGTTGGCAGAAGTCCGGGGTGAGCGAGGGCCACCAGGTTCCCATGGCATGGTTCCCTGACTGAGACCACAAGACATTTCCTGCTGGGGAGACTATCTGCCAGGTTAATTGTTTTAGGGTATGGGGGCTGGTCGACAGGGTGGGGGTAGTCAAAAGGGCAAACAAGACAACTAATTGTGAATAAGTCTTATCTTTAGGGGGTTTTGAGAGCGTTGGAGTCTCCATGCCTGGGCAGGAGACGTGGAAGCATCCGGGTGGGCAGCCTTCACGTGAGATGCGTGGATTCAGGCGGCGATACCGTCAACTTTCAGTACTGTAGGCGTTGTCAGGAGTACCGTATATGGTCCCTTCCAGTGAGGCTCGAGGTTTTTGGTTTGGTGTCTCCGGACCCAGACTGAATCTCCGATTTGGAACTGGTGAGGCACTGTTTGCGTATCAGTGGCGTCCCGGTAGGCGGCTGCTAAGGGCTTCCAAACTTCCTTCTGCACGATCTGCAGGGCCTGCAGGTGTGCTTGGAGAGAGGGGGAATTAGCATAGCCCGAAATATCAGAATCAAAGAAAGTGATGGCGGGGGGGGGGATGCCCCATTTAGAATTTCTAAAGGGGTAAGGCCGTGAGGGCCTGGGGTGTTCATGGCTTGATACAGAGCCAGGGGTAGGAGTTGCACCCAATCCTTTGAGCCAGTTGCTAGCGTTAATTTAGATAAGGTCTCCTTAATTGTTCTATTCATATGTTCTACCTGACCTGAGCTTTGGGGTCTATATGCATAGTGTAATTTCCAACCAATCCCCCGTATCTTGGCCACCTGCTGACTCACCTGGGAGACAAAGGCCGGCCTATCGTCTGATCCTATTACCTGAGGCATCCTATATCAGGGAAAGATTTCTTCTAATAGTTTCTTGGTGACCACCTTTGCAGTTTCATGTTTGGTGGGGTAGGCCTCTACCCATCCAGAGAAGGTGTCTATAAAAACTAAGAGATATTTGTAGCCATACATGCCAGGTTTAATTTCAGTAAAGTCTATTTCCCACTGGACTCCAGATCGGTGTCCCCGGAGACTGACCTTGGCTCGTCCTGCGTTGACTTGAGCGCAAGCCGTACAAGTCTCTGTGACATTTTGTAGGGCCTTATCTCTATTGAGGAAAAGTTTTCCCAGCTCCGCTCGGTCCACCAGGACTTGCATTTTTCGGGCACTTAAATGAGTTTGTGGAGATTATTAATTAAGTCCATTGTAGGTTTAGTTGGCACAATGGTTTTTCCTTGGTGCACCCATCTGTCCCGCTCTGGATCATAGTCTGCTCCTAGTTTCTGTATCAAATCTAAGCCCTCAGTACTATATTCCCAGTTCATTAGCTGGGTCCATCCTGGTTCAGTTAAGATCGTGATGGTGAGGAGCTGGGGACCCAGAGCGGCCTGTTTAGCAGTCTCATCTGCAAGACGATTGCCTTTTGCCTCTGCACTGTCTCCTCTTTGGTGCGCTGGGCAGTGCATGATGCTCAATTTCTTGGGGAGGAATAGGGCCTTGAGCAGGGCCAAGATCTCAGTCTTATT